TTATAATTTCTATAAAAGTGTTTTCTAAAGTTTTTTGAACAAGAAGTTAATAAAAAAAACTGGAACGTTTTGACAAAGTCACACTTTGATCTGAGAAACTTGACAAGAAACTCGCAGCATATTGAAAATTTGTGAAAAAATTTTGCATCTTGCATCTTGCGTTTTCAGCGTTTTATTACGGAACTGAGAACAATTTTACAATTTAACAAAGCACTGAAAAAATTTTCACATCCTGCCAAGAAAAAATGAAAAATGTAGGCATCTTGTTAAAACAACGAAATGTTTTTTTTTGCATCTTGTTAAAATGATAGAATTATTTTTTTGCAATCTGTTAAAAATTTGAGTGTTTTAGCATAATTTTCAAATAAACGAAAAATACAACAGTTGTTAATAGTAAATTTGATATGATCAGTGTTTACAAGTCCAGGTTCCTCAAGAAACAGTCAAAAGTGAAACAGAAACGCAACATGCTGTAAAGATACACAAAAGAATTTTGAGACTTGAGAAGTTTTTTCCCTAGAACAGTGAAAACACTCGAAAATTTTATACAGAGAAAAGGTCGTCAAAAAATTTTCCTTCTCGAATGCTCAGATTAAACATTCTATAGTATTTTCAAGCAAGTGAATGAGAACTATGGAGTAAATTGTAAGAGTTTTTATGAGCAAACAGTCAACCAAGCATAATTTAACAGAACAAAATGTTTTTCAAGTTAAGAAGGACAAAAAATGATCAAAAGTATAATAAAATAAACTGAAAACTTCGCTGAAATTAAATATAATCAACAAAATTGTACTTCCTTTTTTTCGAAACTTTCTGTTTTTCAATTCAGTTCATTTTTTTCTCAGCAATCTCAAAGAAAATGAATAATCTTTTTGGAGGAAAAAATGTTTTCCAACTTTTAAAACCAATCCTAATAGAACACACAATCTACTACTTACAAATTGAGATTGGTTCCAAAGTCTAGTGTGCAAAGTAATTTAGAGCTTTCAGAATGGCGAGAACTCAAGAGGAAAAAAAAGATTTTTTTTGCAGCACCGGTCGACGACTTTCGCTTTCCTACGGATTGTGAAGGTTGATTTAAAAATAGAGTCCAAAAAGCGAATGAACAAGAGAACCACTGGCAATGGAAGCAAAACCTGCAATATTATCAACTAAAAACCTGCCATTTGAGCGACATTCTTTGATTGGGGATGTTGTAAACTGAACCAAAAATTGAACCACCAGTAAGGGAAGCAAGACCTGCGATCAGATCAGTTGAGAGTTTGCTAGCTGCTTGACACCTCTTGATGAGAAATTTTGAAAAAAAAATTGTATAGTTTGTTTCAAAATTTTCCAAATAAAAATTTTTGCTACTTTAATTCATTTAAAAATAATAAGGAAATAGTACAAAAATGAAATTGTTCTGAAAAAATTCAAGTTTGTTTTTAAAAACATTGAAAATGATATGATCAGTATTTACATGTCTATAAAATTCACAAAAATTATCAATTTTTTCATCAAATCAGAGCTTAAGTTTAGCACATGGTTAAGTTCATGTGGAATAACTTCAATGAAAATCACCAGATGCAAGTCCTTATCACTGAAAATCAGCATTGAACAATGCAGATGATAGGAAGGTTAGCTGAGCCTATTGGGATGGTCTCCGAGATTCCTCAATCACACTTTCTAACCAGTCCTCAACTCCTGTTTTCTTTGGAGGGGAACGGATCTGCTGTCAACTCCATCTTAATGATTGAAAATGTAGGTTTCACGAAGCAAGGATTCCAGTGATTGAACCAATGAGAAACCCACCAGCAAAGGAAACAAAACCTGCAATGAGATCAAATGAGATTTGCCTGCATCTCAACAACTTTTTGAAGGATGATTTTAAAATATTTTTCTGTAAGTTTATATCATGTTCTTGAATCCTTTTTTTAATAGTATTTTAACTACAAATTGATGACAAATTATTACAAAAATTGAAGAAAGTGCTAACAAAATCAAAATTTGTTCCAAGACTTAGAAAAATGTTAAAAAAACTGAGTAGTAAGAAACATGTTGGAAGGGTATTTTGCATCTTGTTTAAAAATTGAAACAATTTTTTTTTGTAAGAATTTAAAAAATGGTTTTTGGAATCTGTTGAAGAAACGAAGTAAAAAGTAGATTTGGGCAATTGATATGGTCTTTATTTACAAGTGAATAATCATCAAAAAATAGTTAAATAATTTGATCAAATCAAATACTGTCATTCATTATTGTCATCGAATCCAAAATGGAATCAACAGTTTTCCTTTAAACAGTGAATGTATCAGTTTTTTTTTCTACCAGAGAAAATGACGTCATTACTTGTATATGTCTAGAATCTTGTACTAAATTATCAATTTTTTAGAGAAAGTTTGAGAAGTTTATTTTTCAGTAGAAATATCCATAAGAAAAGTCAATCAATAGAGATTTCAACAACAAATTGTGTTTATAATCATCAAATTGACCAGACTGAAAAAAATATTAATCAATTTAGATATTTTGCATTTTTTATTCCAAAAATGAAAGAAAACTAACAGAAACTAACCAAAAGTGTTGAAACCCAGAAAAAATGTTAGATTAGTTTTTTTTATAGTAGAAACTTGGAGAAAAGTACAAATCTTGTTCAGTTCAATTTTTTTTCAGCATTTTTTACGCATTTAAATGAAACTTATTGAAAATTTTTCAGAAATCACAATTTTGATCAGAGCTTACAAAATGAAGCTGTTTGTGCATACTGAGTTTTTTGTTGGCTTCTTTCTATCCTTAGTTGTGATGAGCTGCTCGGCTAAATTGATGAAATTATATGTAATGAAATTTATCTAGCATCTGTAGAATTTGGCTAAGAGATATTCCTCTTACAACCAAAGGAATCTGCAGGTGTCCAACGAACAAAAAAAATTGTGACTATTCAGGCAATAAACTTGAGGTACTTGTAATTTTCTTAAGACTAAATAGAAACAAAAAATAGATTGTTTTAAAACTTGACAAAAATGGAACGAAATGTACGAAAAACAGATGCCATCTGAAAGATTTGTTCCCATTTTAAAATATGTGTTCAACAAAAACAATCAGGTTTACACTATTGCTTGATTCAGATTATTTGAGCAAAACATTCCATAAATGAACCTAATTAGTTTCTGCATTAATCAAGATGACTTATAATGTTTTCTTCCCTTTTCTCTTAAACACAAAATCAAATTTCCTCTGATATGCTTAATTTTTTATTCAAAAAAAAATACTCACGAAAAAACCAGTCTCAGTTATATTGAATTTTTAAAACGTGAAATGAAATTTTTAGGTCCAAACTCCTACAAGGGAAAAAACTACTTTGAACTATGCTTCAAACTACTCAAGACAACTGAAATGAAACAAATTGAGAGACAGCAGCATGTCTGTTTTGATGAAAAAGTAGCAGAAGTTTTTACTTCTTGATCGTGACACAAACATGTCTTCTATTGTATATTGCTACATCATACTTTTATTGCAGTTGGCAAGATCCAAATCCATAGCAGATTCTTTGCCAGAAAGGAGTTTCAGAATAGCACTGATCCCAAAAGGAAGAATTTAAAGTAAATTCTTCCTTTGTAGGAGTTTTGGAACCAATTGTCCAAAGTCTTGTTAAATTTTTTGCAAGTCCAGTATAAATATGACGAGTAACTTTTCTTAGTACAATTTTGAACAGAAGAGCGATTTGATCAGACAAAGAAAATTGAAGCTGATCTTGTGACTAAGAGAAAAATGAAGAAAACATAATGAATCATCTTGACTAACACAAAAAGGAAGTGAACTCATTATTGGAAGATTTTGATTGGCTTGAATTTTTCTTCTTAAACCATTTTCTTATGTTGGAAACTTTTTTTTTCAGATAGCAGCTGCTGTTCGTCGAGCTCTTTCCAATTTTTTTTCAGATTTAAAAACAATCTATTTATTTTTTGCTTCCAGTAAGTCTTACGAAAAATACACAGTACCTCAAGGTTGTTGCTTGATTACTCACAACTTTTCTGATTGTTGGAGAAAGTTAAGTTTCATTTGATTTCATTAGGAACATCTCCTGTCCATTTTCTACAGAGAGCTGCGATCATGGACATAACTCCTGGACATAACTCATAAACTGTTTTCTGTTAGATTAAACAATTTTTTCAGATTCGATCATGCATTTTTTTCAGCTTATTTCTTGTCATGTTGATGAAGTCTTAGCAAACTGAAGCATTACTTCGTATTTTTGAAAAGTTTTTCAACCTCCATTACGAGGCCAAACTGTGCATGCTGTGAATTGTAAGCGGATTCCGGAACAAGGACGTTCCCTTTGTTCTTCTTTTGTTCTTTCATTCTCTTTGATTTTTCCAACAAAATTTCAACATGTTTAAAGCCTTGATTCTGGAATTCAGGAACATACAGACACAAAATTGTGCGCCTATCCAGTGCACAGTTTGGCCTCGTATTGTCAATCATTTCAGCGAAATTTTTTTTTGTAGTAATAGTTCATTTGTAAGCAAACGAGAAGCTAATCTGTTGCTAAATCTGTAGCGTTTTCAGCTATTTTTCTTTCAGTTGAATTTAGAAATTCTGATATTTTTTCTCGCAGTTTTCCCAGACATAGCTTACGTTTTTCTAAAGAGCCTGGTTCTTTCATTCTCGAGTTCTCGCCATTCTGAAAAAGCTGGGATAATTCAATCTCTAGACTGGGAGATTTTTTAAATGAGTTTTTTGAAAAATTTGTTCTATTAGGATCGGTTTTACATTTTGGGACAAGCTGTTTCTTCTTCTAAAGATTTCATTTTCTGTGAGATAGCTGGGAAAAAGTTGAAAATAACTGAACTATACATGCTAACCACTATATTTTCGATCAGTTTTAGAAGTTTTCATATTTCTGCCTGATACCTCTTTTAGAAAGGATATTCCCCCTTCGACTTAGTTCATTCCCAGTTTCTGTAGTGAAATGATCTATAAACGATTTTGTAAAAGCATAAATTTGTCAATTCCAACAATTAGTCAAGTCATTCTACGTGCCTATATGACAAGGCAATAGCGAGATAAACCAGCGTTATCAAATAGATCAAAATGTAGGCTATTGCCATTGCCTTGTCAACAATCTGAGCCAATCGCATCCAATCTGTGAGAACGACAGGCGAGTTTGATTGGTTAATTGAGTCAGCCAATCGAGTGAGAGCAGCCTCAAGACTGTTGTTGCTACTACTGTCGGCTTTTCGAAGTTCCGCCTGTCCAAACTGCTCCTTGCTGACTGTCCGAATTGAATCATCAATAATGCTGTTTCGGAAACCATCTGAAAAATATTAGAAAACAAACAATAGGTAAAATCGGGCGAAATTGAATTGAAAATCATAATATTTTTTATCATTAGAACTCTGGTCATTGTCACTTTCATTTTTTACACAATTTGGAGCAAGCTGTTCCCAAATTTACATTGGAGAGTGGGGGGGGGGGCTCGTCATTGAAATGTTAAAGTTATTGGAAGAGAGGGGTTTCCACTTGACTAAAACCACATGTTAAACTAATATATAGTGGAGCGGTGGTGAAGTGGTTACGTCTCCGCCTCTCAATCGAAAGGTCGGATGTTCGAGGCCCACC